TTTAAACTTAATTTTAATTTGTTTACATGTTATAAGAGTGATAGAACATTAGTTACTAAGATAATTTCTTTAAAACTGCTAAAATATCCAAGATAGTAAATGAAAATGATTCAATAAAAATAATTCAATTTCTTATATGTTTCCCAATTGCCCTCTAAAAAATAAAATTTTAAGTCACTATCCTATTAAATTAATACAAGTTAATGAAAAATGAATTTATTTTTATGAATTTTATTTTTAGTATCAAACTGAAGTAGAAAATATTAAAAAATTATGTGGGACAGGTTCATGTGGAGCGAATCTATGCGGGCGGGGTGAAAATGAAAAAACAATGTTATGCGGGGCGGATTAAAAAATTTGCGGGTTAAGCTCAACCCGCCCCGCCCCATTGCAATCCCTATAAAGGAAAAGGAAGAGGAAGAGGGAGATGAGATAGAGGAAATAGAGATGGAGGCAACAAAGAGGGTAGCAGAAATTTTAGAGCCAATGATGACAAAAAAAGCAGGGGAAAGAATTTTGACAAATTAAATGTCGAATGTTATTGATGTCATAAATTTGGTCATTATCAGTCTGATTTCTATACTATTGCCTAATGATAAGGAGGAGAAGTCAAATTTTGTTGGAAACAATGAAATTGAGACCTTGTTGATACCAACACAAGCATATGAAGAACCTTTGCAAGATGTTTGGTATCTGGACACAGGCTGCAGTAATTACATGAGTGGGAGCAAGTCTTGTTTTTCTTATTTAAATGAAGTCTTTCCTTCTAAAGTTAGTTATGGTGATTGCTCTACTATGGATGTAATGGGAAAATGTAATATTAAAATTAAAGCCAAAGAATGATGTAGAATAATATCAAATTTGTTATATATTCCTGCTCTAAAAAGCAATATATTGAGTATCAGACAGTTGCAAGAGAAAAGGTATTTTATTCACACGAGAAAAGGTGTTTGTGAGATTTATAGTCCTACTAGAGGATCTATTGTTATTGTGAAAATAAATTCAAACAAGTTATTTCCCTTGAACATTGAGAGTATTAAATCTTTGTTGAAGTCGGAAGTGAAAGATCCTTCTTGGTTGTGACATTTTAGATATGGTCTCTTGAGTTTTGGTGGATTAAAAACTCTCCAACAGAAAAATATGGTGATAGGCATTTTCAAAATTCTCATCCCCTCCTAAGTTTGTGAAGAATTTATTGTTGGCAAACAACATCGATCGTTTTCAATTTCAAAAAGGGAAGTCGTGGAGAGCAGAGGATATTTTAGAATGCATTCAGATATTTGTGGCCCAATTAGACCAATTTTTAATGGAGGAAAAAGATATTTCATTACCTTTTACAGATGATTATTTTCGAAAAACTTTGATGTATTTTTTACGAGAAAAATCATAAGTTTTTGAAGACATAGAATGTTGAAATTGAAAAACTTACTAAGTATAGAAAAAAACACTATTTTGGAAAAGCCAAAAAAAATAAAATAATAAGACACATAATTTCATTTTTGTTAATAGTAAAATGAAAATTTTCTGTCAAATTTATTTTTTTTAAAATTAAATGAGTAACACTTTTATTATTTTGAGAGTAATGATATTAGGGAAAAGGCTTAAAAATGCCCTTAATCTATTAGAAATAGTTCAAAAATGTCCTCCTTCCACCTATTGATTTAAAATGCCCTTAACGTTTTCTTTAGGTTCAAATATGCCCTTTAGCTAACAGAAATATGACATGAAATTTAACTAAACAAAATGGTCAATTTTCATTGGTCAACAAAATTATTTTATCAAATAAAAAAACTTCACCCAAACCTGTTTTCAACTGGCACTTCATGCGACCTTTGTCTTTTCTTCTTCCTCTGTTCTTTCTTCATCCTCTTTTCTTTCTTTAAAAAACAACAACTTTCATCCCCAAAGTAACTAAAGTTGCATCAATTAACTTGATAAAAAAATTAGCTAAATTGCAGCTTTTAAGCCCAAAAAAGAGTTACTTTCAACCCAACAAACAACAATTAAAATGAAAGCTTGAAACCCAAAAAATAACAGCTAAATGTAGATTGTAAACCCCCAAAACAGCATTTTAACCCAATAAATAGCAACTAAAATGCATAATAATATTAATCACTGATGCGCAAGGTGAAAATTTACATACAATATTCATTCGCATCCACATTGTGAAATGATTTACAATCAATCTTCAATAGCTATTACACGATTAATCTTGACTAAGAAACTAATCTTTTATACATTTAAAATAGGAAGAAAGAAAACACAAAATTAAATAAAAAGGGTAGATGAGGAAAAGGGGAAGGGGAAGAAAGAAAGAAGAGAGACAAAAGTTGGGTTATATTAATTTGAAATGGATTTGGGTGTCGGGTTTGAAATGGGTTTGGGTGTTTGGTTTGAAATGGGGCTGGGTGGATTTTTTTCATATTTGATAAAATAATTATGTTGACCAATGAAAATCGGCCATTTGTTTAGTTAAATTCCATGTCATATTTCTGTTAGCTAAAGGACATTTTTGAACCTAAAGAAAACGTTAAGGGCATCTTTAAACCAATAGGTGAAAGGAGGGCATTTTTGAACCATTTTCAATAGGTTGAGGGCATTTTCGAACCTTTTTCCATGATATTATTTCTACGATATTTGCAAATATTTTATGATTTTATAGTAATTGTTTAGAGAAAAAGTCAAAAAATACTCTTGTATTTAAAACACATCAAATTTGTCCTTCATTTATTTTCAGTTCAAATGTCCTCCCCATTAAATATTTATCTTTAAATACCTCCAATTACTCAAATGAATCAACAATACCTTTCTATCTAACGATTGTTTCAAAACAAGAAAAACTGGATCAACTTTTTTCCATTACTATTTGAAATGAAATAATTTGCCATTAATTTCAAGAATTTAGTAAAAATCTATTTTGGAGATAAATTGAACTATTTTGAAATTCAACAAAAATTTTATTCTATTTTTTTCTTTAAAAAAAACTATGATACTACCTCTTGACTGACATTTAGTATGACTTAAGCTAAAAATAAAGAGAGTAATATAGCACATCAAAATATAACTGAAATCATTATTTTTAACCATATCAGTGTTCTTAAAATTAGTAAAAAAAGGTACATGATATCATGTTTAAGAAAAAATATAACTCATACCTAATGTGTTAAGAAAGAAAAAGGAATCTATATGCCATCTTCTTTTAAAATGAAAAATATTTATTATGTTTATTTTCTTATTTTATAATTATATTTTCACATTCAACTAAGTTAACATACTTTTTTCTTGTTTTGGAATAACCGTTTCCTATTAGAAGAAAGGTATTTTAGTCTATTTTGAATTTTGATGATTGAAGGATATTTTCGAACCAAAAATATAACAACAAGAATTATTTGTTTTAATAAAAAATATAATAAAGAAAAAATTTAACCTATTTTGAATAGCTCTATATTACTTTTAGGAAAAAATTTATTATGTTTGAGGTATAAGTATTATGTGGCAGACAAAACTTGTATGAGACTCCATTCATATTTTGCCAAGAAGATTTTTGTCACGCCCCAAACTCAAGGGGCGCAACTGACTCCTAATGTCAAAACTCAGGCCTGAGCCGACCCTGTTGAACCATTTGCTACTAGCGCATGGCAGCCACACGCAATCAAGAAAACAAACAAGTATATCTCGGCTTAAAACTAAGCCTTTGACCGGCAAGGCCCCTGTCAACAGATTTATAAAAGAAACAGCTACTCTCAAGAGGTCATATAAAGAAATAACCAACTAGCACAGAAGTCCTGATTGGGCTGTCGAGGCCACCATGATCTCTATACCAAAACTGAAAGCAGGTATATATCAAGACAAACATCAACAACTCACAAGCTTTAACAAACCAACAAACTAGGCTAGCATGGCCATAACGTAGCTATACACCCCACACACTAGTCTTCAAGCCTCTAAGAGTAGTAAAAATTGGCGGGATAGGGCCCCAGCCTACCCATAAAAATATATACAACAAAAGCTAACAAACCTCCCAACTCTGGTAGCTCCGGAGGAAAGGGGTTAACCAATCGGATAGAAGTTAATCCTGCTGCTGAGGAGGTCTACTGGGTCGTCTGTCGGAACCTGCATGCATGCATGCATGCAGCAACCCCCCAGACAATGGTGTGTCAGTACGAAATAAGGTACAGAGTATGAAAGGCTATAGACTAAATGAGCAAGTATCATAATATACCAAAAGTAATCAGGTAAAGAAATCAAAGGTAATGGATGTATTATATTTTCTAATACACTCTACCAAACGACCCCTTATAACGAGTGTTAATAATTTATCAAAACAAGGATTTTGAATTTCTAAGACATGAATTAAAATTTCAACCAAATAAATATTCAAATTCACACAAAAAAAAAGAAGAAGATATGTTTTGACTCTCATATTCAGAATTTCGCCGATTTGCTTTGTAAAAGAAATTAAATTTCAACAAAATTAATATTCAAATTCACACCAATTTAATAATTCTTTCACCAATCACACGATTTTCTTTCTTGATTGAAAATGATGAATTAATGAACGTTATATTATACCTACACTATATTTTTGTGAATGATTTATGGCAGATGCATATGAAAATTACTGCTAAGAGTTTATTAATTGGAAAAGACAATTTTATGGTGACAATGTATCCAAATATCGGTCAAGCCTTCATCGTCTCATTAATAGTAATCCTGTTGTTGGTGTTGGTTTCTAGGAAGTTAAAAGTGTTTATTTCGTAAAACAATATTTTTTTTACGTTGGAAATAATAATTTAAAGTTGGACTAGAAAATCTAAGTTGATTAGGATTTGTTATTTATGATATTTAGAATTTGTTATTTAGAGTGGTTCCTAATCCTAATATAATTTGGTTTTTACTTTTATAAATAGGATGTTATTATTATTTTCAATACACAGAAATATACAGAATCGAGAGAACTTGAATTGAGATTTAAGTATATAAATAAAATATCTTGAGCAATGGGAAAGAGGAAGTCGAAATCAAAGCCGCCACCAAAAAAAAGAATGGAGAAACTTGACACTACCTTCACCTGTCCATTCTGTAGCCATGGCAGCAGTGTCGAATGTCGCATTGATATGAAGAACTTGATTGGGGAGGTAAATTGCATGATTTGTCAAGAGAGCTTCAGCACTACTGTTACAGCACTGACAGAGGCCATTGACATATACAGTGAATGGATTGACGAATGTGAACGTGTGAACAACCTTGAAGACGATGATGGTTCTTAGGTTCTTATGGTTTAGGTTCCGTAATGTAATAATTGTGTTTTGTTTTAGACGGTATAATAAATTAAAGTGGTCTTTATACTAAGCAATAAATAATACTATGTATACTTAGTGCAAAATAGTTTGTTAGTCATCAAATTGGTCAAACTAGAGAAATTAATGTCTACACATATAATATTAATGATCACTTGATGCGTGTATTATGTTTCTATAATTTGTTAGTCACCAAAGTGGTCAAACTAAGATGTATAAAATTATTCTCATGCACAAAACTTCATGATATTATGTGTACATTTGTATTTATAGTTTGTTAGTCATCAAAGTGGTCAAACTAGTATGGTTAAGAAAAATATGCATTCATGCTAGAACTTAAGAATTTTTCCAAAGAATGAATCAATCATTCTACGAATAGTGAACATTATGAGGTAAATTAATATTTTCAATCAAACATATATTGTATATCCAAAGATGTCATATACGTCTGACTAAAAAAAATGACATTTAATTATGATAATGTGTCGTAGTATCTATCCAAAGGAGAATTACGATATGTTTTTTATCGTTTTACTAAATTCACATTATTTTCTAATTTGTGAGCAAGTATATCTATTTTGCAGTTATTCCTCTTCATTTGCATGCTTCGTCTGTTACCGTGTTCAATGGGCTGAACTTCTCTAAATGGCATGAACAAGTCCAGTTTCACTTAGGTGTGAAGTGTGATGGATCTTGACCTAGCTCTGCTGAATGATAAACCTAATGCCATTACTGATAAGAGCAGTGAGGATGAGAAGTCTTTTTATAAATCATGGGAGCGCTCTAACAGATTGAGCCTTATGTTCATGCGAATGACTGTTTTTAATAACATTAAGAGTACTATTTCACAAACAGAAAGTGTCAGAAAATACCTGAAGTTTGTGAAAAAACGTTTTCGTAAAGCTAATAAGTATCAAATTTCTAAACTCAACAAGTCATAAAAGGTGTTCTCAAATGATAGGAATAGTGGAGGAATTCATTTACGGTCTACGGACCTATTGATATTTATCTAATGTCTATTATCAATTCTGCGAAGAAAAGGTCAACCTGATTTTTGTCTACTACCAATTCTGGGTAGAAAAGGTCAATTACGTGCACTACTAACCAATTACGAATCCTCGAATATTTTACTATCATAAATGATAAAAAAGAGACCACTAAGACCAAGCTAACAAATCTGGATTTCCTTTCGGTAAAAGTTCAAACTAAAAGGACAGGCAATAATAATACCTTTTTTACTTCCCCGGTAGGTTAGAATAATACTTTTTTTCGGTTAGGTTAGAATAATATTTGACTAATAATAAGTCACATATACACGTCTCTAAAATCAGATCAATTCGTCTGAAAATAAAATAAAAACACAAGTAGAATAAGAAAATTCATAAATATAGTTGTATGGTCCTCATCAAGATGTGTCTTTATTGTTTATTTTAATTTTAGTTTTTGATGCAAATGGAACCTTATTAGAAACACAGTCATTTGATTATTATATCTTTTCTTATTAGACTAATTCAAATCGTTCATGATTCTTCTTATATTCACACTACGTACGTGCGGTTGTAACTAGCATAGCACTGCGCAAAATAAATTTGCTATAGATATAAATGTACATTTAAATTACAAACAAAAATATACTCAATACAAAACATATCGTAAGAAAAAAAGAGTATTATCACGTCAATTTCTCTAATTTTTTGCATAACGAACAAGTAAAAGTGACTGATCATTGTTCATGGCGGAATCAAGTTATGAAACTATGACTAACTAGGGAGAGTTGGCAAAATAGTCACCTTAAAGACTTAATGTGACATTAAGTCACAAGTCTTGAATAATTTGTGGTATACCCACTATTAATGATATCATCCACATGCCTTAATTGACACATACAAAATACCCCCTTCTTTTCCAACTAATTTGGAATAATATATTTATTTGCAATTGTTAAAATTTATATTAGAAAAAAGAAAAAAGTCTCCAAACGGAAACAAGAGCAACTCGTTTTTGCTGCTGTCAATTTGTCGATTCCGGCGAGTTTTTCGGCCGTAATATCCATTTCCAAGGTAAAATCATCATCATCTCGTACTCCATATTCATGTTTACTCCATTTTCTTTCAAAAACCAAGCTTCAAAATTAGTTTCCCGCCATTTTAGAAATTTGAGAAATCTTCCATAATAATCACTTGATAACTCATTATAGATACATTTTAGTAGTTTAAAAGCATTAAAAATCTATTTTGCCATTGCAGGAGGTAAATTTTGAACCCCGATCTCATTCAGTCACATTTTTGTACGGATTCCGTACCTCATAGACTAATACTGTAATCTATTATCGATATTTGTAGTCTACAATAGCAGTAACTGAATTTGTTGTTGCTGATGGAGATTATATAGGAGTATGGGAGGAGACTCCCAAAAGCTGGAATTGGAAATCTTTTAGTAAGACGACAGTTCCCATTGTATTGTGTCGTAACGGTTCATATGACGATATGATTGCAAGCGTAATTGAAGCCGGTGAGTTAACTTGCGAGTCAAATGACTTGGTGATTAGCTATCAAATGAATGGGAGGGGGAAAATACATCCCACATTCATAAAAACTGATCGGCACGTGGTTGTACATGTTAGATATTGGTATTCATGGCTCTAGGCCTACATTGAGGATACACGTCAATGCGAGGCCTCCAATTGAACCGACAAATTCATTTGACGACGACAATAATTCTATTGGAAATGAAAGATTGGATGATCATTCAAAGGAGAGCTTGGGTGATATTCAAATGAGAGTTTGGGTGATCATTCAATGAATATACATGATGATCCAACTAATGTGGAAAATTAGTCAGTAGATGCGAAAGATCCCGAACGCAAATGTTGTGAAGAAATGCAGGGAGAACAAGAATTGAGATCACAATCCAACCATTCCTTCTCCGATGGAACTAATTTATGCATAAATCAAACTTTCAATAGCAAGAATGAGTTGCAATTGTTATTAGTTGATGCGGCGGCAAAGAAGTCTTTTGATTTTGCTACTTTGAGGAGTTGTACTAAATATTTAAAGGTGAAATGTGTATCTCAGAATTGTGCATGGATATTGCGGGTGAGGAAATATGAGTGTTCGGATAGATTTTGTATCTATAAGTACATTGGCGAGCATAGTTGTAGCGTTGAACATGCCAACAGTAACCATAGAAAAATCTCAATCAATGTCATTGCTTCACTTTGTGTAAATATGTATTGTGATGGCAAGGGTCCAAATGTTAAAGAGATTCAAAGGACTATGTTTAATTCTTTTTGTTGTAGTCCAAGTTATTGGAAATATTGGAAGGGAGGTGTGATTGCCAAAGAAATGGTCTGAGGGACAGCGGAGAACGGATATTCATGCTTACCAGCTTTTTCCTACATGTTCGAGACACTTAATGTTGGTTCTAGATATTTTATCATGGTAAACAATGATAGTCATAGGTTCATGTATTATTTCTTGGCCTTCAGTGCTTGCATTAAGGGATTTGCTCACATGAGAAAGGTAATTGCGGTTGATGGCACTCATTTACATGGTAAATACGAGGGCGTGTTGTTGAGCATTGTTGCACAAGATACGGTAAATCATGTTTATCCAATTGCTTTTTGTGTCGTGGACAAAGAGAATGATGCATCTTGGACATTCTTCTTTGAGAAATTGAAGTAGATTGTGGTCGATGAACCAGATTTGTATTTTATCTCCGATAGACACAAGAGCATCGCCAATGGCATTGTGAACGTTTACAATCATGCTCACCACAGATATTGCATGAGACACCTCGGTGAAAATCTCCGCGTAAATCATCATTGTGGAGATTACCTTTATCTTTACTATAATGCGGCAAAGGCTTATTCTTTGGAAGAGTTTGACAATCATTTTGTCGAATTCAAGAACAAATGTCCCGCGGCAGCCATCGTCTTTGAGTATGATATAGGTTTTGAGAAGTGGAGCAGGGCACATTTTCCTAGAAATAGATATGACGTGATGACCACAAATATCGCCGAGTCACTCAATGTTATGTTGATAGACGAAATGGAGTATCCCATGGCATCAATATTTAATTCGATTGCTAAGAGGTTTGGAGAAATATTTAGAAAGAGGCATGCATATATCCTTAAATCAATGGGTAATCACATGGTACCTCCTGTCGAAAAAATCGCAAGAAAGAAAATGATCGAGGGCGACTCCTTATATGTGGAGAACGTAATCGGGGACGACAATCAATTTATCATGTTCGGTGCAGGTGTTACTGCTATGTGGACCTATTGAAAAAGTCATGTTCTTGTAGGGAATATGACGTGATCAAGATACCTTGTGCTCATGCGATAGCCACTTTGCGATCGAAGCATAGCAATGAGTATGGTATGAGCATTTATGAGTACTCTTCGCCTTTGTATAAAGTTGAATCGTACCTCCTTGCATACTTAGATTCTATTAATGTTGTCCCTCTTGAGTCGGAATGGTGTGTGCCAAAAAAATTGCTTAATGTGAAGATTCTTTCGCCTGTTGTTGATATCAAGCTTGGAAGAAAACGTGTCAAAGGTATCAGTGAGAATTTCAAAAGCAAGAGAAGGAACAAATGTTCAATTTAGAAGAGAACCGGACACAAGAGAACCACATGTGTGAGCAACAACAAATCTTAATTAAGCTTGGTTGAATCTGTTGATTGAATTTGTTTTTGTAATCGTTTTTGTAATCAAGCTACTGTATTTTTGGCTTCCAACATTTTGGTCAATTGCTATTATCGTAATTACTCATGATCTAATATAGATCAATCAAAAGATGACATACATTTTGCACACTGTCTCTTAATGTTTTATTATCGAGTCCACTCATTGTGTATTAAGTTGTGTATTATTAATATATGAAAATTCATGGTATTCGTATACAATGATTTTAATGTATGAATTAGAATATGATTTAATGCAATGATCTAAGTATAACTAATACAAGCATTATTTGCATATACACTCTATCAACTGAATTCTTAAAGAATTGTCAAAAAAACAAATGTTACCATTGAAAAAGTAGCAATTTGAACTTTTTTACCGTTGTAAAATTTGTATATGTAAATATTTACTCGTTATCAAAATATATAGACCCTTTATACAATCGATGCATCTCTATGTGCTTAGTGTATGTATGACCAATGAGATTTACACTCTGACATTAGTAAGGTATGTTCGTGTTTATATCTATTTTAAAGCATTGTCGATACTTCACCTACTAGAATCTGACACTTCTATGTAGACCAAAATTAGTAGAATTTAGAAAACACAATAATTAATTAATAATAAATTATATTTTTGAAATTTATCCAATTAAATGAGTTTAAACAACTCATATGATCATGTAAGAGTCCACATAAATTGGGTGTGGTGATTAGAGATGTATGAGGAAGAGTTGTGGTTATACAATCAACATCCTTAGAACAATGTTTGAGAAAATATAAGTATGTTGTGAGGAAATCACTTGTTTAACCACACATTGTTGATTGTCACCCCAATTTATGTAGACTCATACATGATCACATTCTTATGTTCTAAAGATGTTGATTGTATAACCACACATAACAAATTACATCCATACATCATACTTATGCTTTCTCAAACATTGTTATAAGGAAATTGTTGATTGTATAACTACAACTTTTTCTCATACATCTCTAATCACCACACCCAATTTATGTGGACTCTTACATGATCATATGAGTTGTTTAAACTCATTTAATTGGATAAATTTTAAAAATATAATTTATTATTAATTAATTGTTGTCTTTTTTAAATTCTACTAGTTTTGATCTACATATAAATGTCAGATTCTAGTAGGTGAAGTATCGACAATGCTTTAAAATAGATATAAATCTTAATATACCTTACTAATGTCAGAGTGTAAATCTCATTGGTCATACATACACTAAGCACATAGAGATGCATCGATTGTATAAAGGGTCTATATATTTTGATAGCCAGTAAATATTTACATATACAAATTTTACAACGGTAACAAAAGTTCAAATTTCACTTTTTCAACGGTAACATCTAGTTATTTTTTAGTATAAAAGGAAGGCAATCCCTCATAAACAGCTCAAACACCTCCATTTTTACAATGTCTCAAGCATCTCAAACATCTAAAGCAAAAAAGTCTTACAATTGTCATTGTGGTAATCCAGCTACGTTGAGGACGTCACACACCGATACAAATCTAGGTCGACAATTCTTTAATTGTGCAGTTGGCATATGCTCATTTTTTAGGTGGCTTGAAAATGAATCATCAACGAGTAGCCCATCAAATTTTCAAGGCGTTGCCAAATTTAAATTATTAACAAAGCTACGAAAATTTGAAGAAAATAGGGATTTGCTAATGACTTTCTTAAAAGAAGATGAAGAGCAGAGGAATCACTTGAAAGTGTTGCTAAAAGATGCTGAAAGAGATAGAGATCAACTAAAAGAAAATTTTGGCAGAAGAAAAAGAAAAACGCCTAAAAACTGTATTGTGTGATTTATTTTTCGTGTTTGCTTTTTGGAAATGTGTAACAGGAATATAGTCTGAATAAATGAAAGTATTTCTCTCTATTTATTGCACTCTTATATCTTTCATTTTTTTATCGATAATATTACAAATCAACAGTGATAGCAATCTATAGTATTAAATATACAACTTTATTGTCGATAATTGACTGCTAAATAATTTTACTCCATAACGGTAAGAAACTAAAGTTAAAGACAAAAAATCACATACTATTAAAATATAGATTCATAAAACCCCTTCATAATAAAACATGTTAAATTGTTTCTCAAAACTACCATTAACCATATACAAAAGTATCTATAATCTTTCAGATGTATATTTTTCTCCTCAAAACAGCAAAACAACAAACCAATTCAACCATTGTCTTAAAATGTCAAATTCTTTCAAAATCATTGTCTTAAAATGTCAATACTTCAAAAACCACTTCAATTGTTTTTTCATCACCATTGAGTTCCATAACATACTCATCACATCCACTGAATTTTCACTGTCATCTTCTTCTTTCTCTTCTCATTCATCTACTGACTTCTCTTTTACTTTTTCTTCTTCCTTCTTCTCTTCTGCCACTTCATCAATCGCTTCACCTGCCACTTCATCAACAACATCAACTGTCACTGGATCAACTGCACCTGCCACTTCACCACTTGCCACTTCATCAATAACATCAGCTGTCACTGGATCAACTGCACCTGCCACTTCACCACTTGCCACTTCATCAATAACATCAGCTGCCACTGGATCAACTGCACCTGTCACTTCATCAATAACATTAGTTGTCACTAGATCAACTGCACCTACCACTTCATTAATAACATCAATTGTCACTGGATCAACTACCACTTCATCAACAACATTAACTGCCACTGGATCAACTGCACCTGCCACTTCATCAACTGTCATTTCATCGATAATATCACCTACCACTTCATCAACCATAACAACTCCTACTTCATCAACTAAATCAACTGTCATTGCATCAACTACCACAACATCAACTGCCACTTCATCAACATGATCAATTATCACTTTATCAACAGTCACTTCATTAACTTCATCTGTAAGGTATTCATCGATTGCAACAAAGTCTTCATCAACTGTTGCAAGGTCTTTATCAATTGATGCAAATTCCACATGTACTGTATTACTTTTAAAAAATATTATAGGAATAAATTACTTGACACTAACAACGTATATACTAATTTACCTTTCTTTTGTTGTGTTTTTTTTATTCTTTTCAATTCTCCTCAATCTTTCTTCCCGTACATAAGCAACAACTTTCACTATTAATTGCTCAGGGATAGAACACATTCACTCAGATTTTCTAAATTCCCATTATTAGAAGTACTCGGTGCATTTTTTTGTTTACTAGAAATAAAATTCATACAAGGTTGGACAATATTGTCACCCAAATATTCATCGTCTGTGCTCTCTACTCCTGAAGTGATGACGGTCACACCTTTCAATTGGGCCTTCAAGACATCGATGATCGCGTCCTTCACTTCATCTTTATATGGCTTAAATGTTGCCATATAATTCTGCTCCATCTCACGAACAGTAGGGGTAAGGTATGGGTGCACAAACTAATAAAAAGAATATAAATATTACACAATGTTCACTTATTTAAAAATATTGTTTGATAATAACAAATAAATGTATACCTTCGTACTTCTTCCTTTGTACTTAAATAGATCACCTTCAACTATATTATCGCTCTTTGATGTATACCATCTGAGTAAACGGGAATGGGCAGTGGAGTATTCAAGGACTTCCCGGCATACTTTCCAAGATATGAAAAAGCCTTATATATCCAAACCTGAAATTCATAGCACAACAAACAAATAAATAGAGTCTATGAAGTACTACACAAATAAATAAGAGTATATCATAAATCGACTAAATAATTGATAGTAAGTACCAGAAATGCCCAGGGAAAGCCGTACAGAGCATAACATGCATTCTTCTTTTCATTATACATTTTTTCCTGCTTCTTCAAATTAATTCGATTCTTCAGATAGGTCAATGTTAAATCAAATGACTCTTTTCCCCATGGATAACTGTTGAAGAAATCCAAATCATCTGCCATCTTCATGTGGTTTGAATCCACAATCTTAGATCGATCATGGGCAAGCAACATCAAGTGGATGAACCAAACTAACGCGCACTTCAATTTTTGCTCCTTATTTAATTTGTTACTCTTGATTATTCTCATCAACTTTGCACCAGTGATGTTCTTGTTCCTTGTCACTTTGAAATGAAAATTCTCACCTGTCCTAAGGACTTTGTTCATTTTTTATTTATGGGGGTATGCTGAGCAATTCAGCCCCGTAATTAGTGCAAACTCTTTTAAGTCAAATATGCAGGCTTATCATTCACACAAAACCAAATTTCATGCAATTTTTTTTCATTTCTCACCTGTCGCTACAACATATTATGGACAATCTGTCCATTGAACTTAAAATAATTTGAAATATGCCTCAAATGTCCAAAGCAAGTACCCTTAAATTCATTATAAAGATTTTGTTCAACCAAAATTTTTCTAAAGTCACGATAAATTGTCATCCTTGATCTTACAGAGATCTTGGCTGGAAACGATCCTACCTCATCTAGCCACATTGCTAGGTCATACAACTCACCAGAGATATCTCTTGCACAAATGGGAAAGGATAGAGGATCTTCCTCATCTCGACTAGTATCTCTACTACTCTCCTCGCTATCACGTTCCCCTTCACTACTCTCAACATTATCACTTTCATCAGGACTACTGTCCTGGTAATTGTCAATCTCCGCCATTGTTTTCATTTCTGAATCAGACTCGGGTTCTTCGACTGCAATTTTTTTCTTTCTACAAGTTTTCAAACCTTTTTCAGCCTTTCGTTTTTTAATGCTAGAAGCAATAGGAGCAGATGGTTTAGTTATTCCACCTCTAGTTTTAGCCATACTTTATAATCTACAAGCAAAAACATATTTATCGATCACTAGTTTATTAACATAAATAGAGTAAACCTCAAATAAAACATGCAAAATAAATAACAGATCCAACAGAAATCAACAATGTTATTGACAGAAATGCCACTAAAGTCAATCAAAATTTAGTAAATATTTTAAAATCAATAGGCGAAATAAACATAAAAATAATTTAAAAAATAAGCAACCAAATAGGGCTAAAAATTTAGATACAAACAAAAACGACATTAGAGAGAACAACACTGAATACAGCAAAAAAACTTCATCCCAAACAAGAACATCAACAAAAACAATCCAGAAAAAAGGGGCCATTAAATCATTACACTACCATAACAAAATAAACAATCAAATATGGACAATAAGTATCGAAGAACACCATTACAGAAGGTTCAACTTACCAAAGATGAGGGCTTTAATTTGAACTTGGAGAAGAAGATTGAAAAACACAGATGACGATTTGAGAGGGGTTTAGGACGATGAAAAGTGAGAAAAGTTTGTATAAGTTAATGGAAGAGAAGCGTATGATTACACTGGAAGAGAAGTGTATGGGGAAGATGAAAAGCCCTTGCACTTGGAGAAGAAGAAACGTCGGAACAAATATTCAGAAAAGGTGCCTCGATTTTCATCAATAAATAATATTTTATCAAAATATAATATTTTTAAAAATGTAGTGGGATTATAATATATTTTTGTAAAGTTATAGATTTTTCCCAAGTTTTAAAAACAATAAACAAGCCCATGACCCCACATTCACAAATATACCCCCAAGTTTTAAAAAAGCCAAAGAGATCCATGACCCCACACTTTTTCCTTTTTAAAAATCTCAACCCTAGAAAATAAAGCAAAAATAAATTAAGTGGGTATAGAATAAATTAAGTTATAAAGGTGTCCCCAATGCCAATTCTTCTCGGCTAACCATCCAATTGTTGTAATTGGATCTGAATATTGCACGCCAAACCAGGTTGATGTTGTTATATCGAGGAAGGTGAAGACACTTAGATATGAAGAATTTGTTGTTTCAGATATGAATGGAAACTTTGTGTTCAAAGTTAAAGGCACATCTTTTGGATGGCATGATAAGAGAGTTATTCTTGATGATGCAGACAATCCCTTGATCACTCTCAAACAAAAGGTACATAGTAATTGATTTTTCTAGAAGGTTAATTTGATACATCTCTCCATATTATAATTTTTAAAATTAATAATAGATAGGTTACAAAAAAATGTTATAAATAAATCATAATAAGGGAGGGAAAGTTAATAAACATTGATAGTTAAAAGATATCTTGTATTATCAGTAAATTAATTTTAATATGTGACGTTCCCAAATTAGTTATTATTTAATACTTATCATAATAGTTTACTTATAATAACTATACAAGTAACGATTGTATAAATATTTTTCACGTTAAAATTAAAGTTATTGCTGTTAATTAATTATTTTTTGTATAGATATTAACTCAGCATTTGAGATGGAATGCATTTAAAGAAGAAAGCACAGATGAGAAAGACTTTTTATTTACTATAAAGACAACAACCATATTTCAGTGGAAGACCGAATTGGCTGTTTTCTTAGCAAATAACAATTCTAAGGAGAAGGTGTGATTATTTGATTAAGGGAAATTGGTCTGATAGATCATGTGTAATATATGCTGGAGATTCTTTGAGTCCGGAGCCAAAAGGGCAATAAAAATTATCAAAAATTTCAAAAGGGCGCATCAAATTTTTTTAAAATCAAAAGGGCAAAATCGCTCTTGAAGAAGCGATTTCCCTCTGGCACAATGACGAAAAATCGCTGCCCTAGCAGCGATTTTATCTAAAAACTTTTTTTCTTTTTTTTATTAAAAATTGCTGCCCTAGCAGCGATTTTGTAAATTTTTTTTAAAATTAAAAATCGCTGCAATGGCAGCGATTTTAAGTCAGAATTTTTTTTCCCCTTACACATCACTGCAGGGGCAGCGTTTTTCATGCCTAGTGCTATTATATTCATGCCTATTGTTAATTATTAATAATATAAAATGATAAACAAGATGGATAGTATACTCAATAAAATTGTTGAAGCATGAGAAAAATTGAATTATATATCATAAATAATAATAAAAGAATATTAAGTTGTCGTACGTTAAAAAAAATAATCTTTTTTTCTTCAAAATTGGTTAAGAATTAAAAAAAAAAGGTTTTTTTTAAAATTTTATATACTTTTATTATTATTTATGATATATAATTCAATTTTCCTCATGCTTCAACAATTTTATTGAGTATACTGTCCGTCTTGTTTATCATTTTTATATTATTAATAATTAACAATAGGCATGAATATAATAGCATTAGGCATGGAAAACGTCTCCCCTGCAGTGATGTGTAATAAAAAATAAATTACTTTTTTTACAAAATCGCTGCCAATTTTTTATTTTTTTTTACAAAATCGTTGCTAGGGCAGCGATTTTTCATCATTTTGTCAGAGGAAATCGCTTCTTTAGGAGCGATTTTGCCCTTTTGGTTTTAAAAATTTTTGATGTGCCCTTTTGGAATTTTTGACAATTTTTTTTGCCCTTTTGGCTCCGGACTCGAGATTCTTCTACCATAGTTGCTCAGGTTAGCTATCTTACTTTCTATTTGTTACTCTCTTTAAGCATCTTAGTCAGAGGGAGACCCACGTTATGAGGGTGTATGTGCATTCGTTAACTTCGAAAAAAATTATATATATAAGTGTATATATAGATTGCGATATGAAATATATTTCATTAGGCACTATATAAACACCAAAACTAATTGGTGCATTGGTTTAAACTCAGGGTTTGAATCCCATTTAGTGTTTTTTTTTTTTTTTCGTTTTCATCTGAGAACCCTAAAAATCGTTTGTGGTGCATCCATCATCTTTAAATCCTGGACTCGCCTATGATCTGTGTTTGTTGATATTAAATTAAAGGTATGTATAGTCCTCTAAATCTTGTGTTCTTAAGTTTGTTATGTAGATGCCGAAATTGAAAATCTTCTTAAATATATAAAAAAAAATACTATTTTGAAAAAGCCAAAAAGAAAAATAAGACACATAATTTCATTTTTGGTACAGTAAAATAAAAAATTTCCGTCATGTTTAATTTTTAAAATTAAATGAGTGACACTATTATTATTTTGACAGTAATGCTATTATTACTGCAATTTTTTCAAATATATTATGATTTTATAGTACTTTTTAGAGAAAAAGGAAAAAAATAGTGTTGAAGTATATAAAATAGGTAAAATTTATACCTCATTATATTTTCAGTTCAAATATCCTCCCCATTAAATTTTTGTCTAAAAAATAACTCCAATTATCCAAATGAATCAACAATACCCTTCTTTCAAACGATTGTTCCAAAACGAGAAAAACTGGACCAACTTTTTCCATTAACTATTTGAAATGGAATAATTTGCCATCAATTTTAAGAATTTAGTAAAAAAAAAATTTGGAGATTAATTAAATTATTTTGAAATTCAATAAAATATTTGTTGTATATATTGTTTCTTTTCAAAACTATTATACTGGCTCTTGATTGACATTTAGGATGACTTAAAGTTAAAAAATAAAAAGAGTGATAAAGCATGTCAAGATATAATTAAATTTTTGTTTTTAATCATGTCATCATTCTTAGAATTAGTAAGAATAAATTTAGCCTATTTTTATAAATAGTTTTATATTACTTTTGGCCCTTTCCCCTACTTTTTATAGAGCCGGTCAAGGGAGTCCTGCGTTCAACACTAGATATATTATATCACACACGGTTTTGGCTTGTCTTTTCTTGATTTAGGTCATGAATTGATACTTTCTCTCTTTAACCGTTATCGTTTGATAAAGTATCTAAGAATAATATTAAATAAAATGTATTAGTAATGTTGATATTAGTTATACTGACATTATTTCTAAAACATTGTTTGATTTGTTATATTAGAAATAACAAATCTTGCATAACTTCTATTAAAAACATACTTATTTATAAAAATATCCTCCGTGATCGCACAATTTTCATTCTTGATTGAAAATGGTGAATTAATGAACATTATATTATACTTACACTATATTGTTGTGAATGACTTATTGCAGATGCATAAGAAAATTACTGCTAAAAGTTTATTGATTGGAATTTTGGAAAAGACAACTTTATGGTGACAATGTATCCAAACATTGATCAAGCCTTCATTATCTCATTAATTAGTAGTAATGCTTGATGCTATCAATACAGTCAACGATGCCGCTGCCGGTTTAGGTACCGCGGCTGCCGGTTTAGGTGCTGCTATTGCCACTGGTTTCTACGAAGTCAAAAGTGTTTATTTTATAGAGTTGAGGTGGTTGGCAATGACAAATCTCTTGTTATTATTATTGTAGTATCATATTTTAATTATGAAAGTTATTTTAGTCCAACAGGTAGCTTTTACTTTTAAAAATATAAAAAAAAAATATAAGCAAGATGTGAAGTCCCATAAATTTCTAATAAACTTACATTAGTTACGAACTTCATGACATAATTTAGCGAACTATAGAAGTGCTCATGAGCAAAATAAAATGACTACGATATGTTACCATGGGGATATTTTTATGACCCAAATTTTAAGATTATAGTGAACGCCTTGCGCGTAAATTCACTTTAATTATCAAATTATAAGTACTCAAAAGATATTTAAAACTATATTATTATATTCTCAAATTATAAGTACTCAAAGGTTATTTAAAACTATATTATATTCTCAATACAAGGAAAGTATAAAAATATAATAAAGTATCAAATGTGTTAAAAATCTTTAATATATAGTCAAGGCAATATCTGTATCAACTCCAATTATAAAGATAAAGTCATAAATTTCAAATAAGAAAACAAATAAAAAGGTAGTCATCTATCATCCCCATTCATCGTACTAATGTTCATGGGAATTTGAGACTGTGGAAGTACTATTTTTGAAAAATAAGAAAAAGACACCTTATATATCCTTGACCATGATGTAGGGCTGTACATGGTCATGTTGGTTCGAGTTTTTCAAATATCAAATCAAATCATTTGTGTCGGATTTTTGAATTTGTAAACCAAACCAAACCGATAAAACTCGGGTTTTTCAACCTCGGGGTTTTTTGGATTTTTCTGGGTTTTTTGGATTTTCGGGTTTTTCCAATAAAGTATTCGTACAAACGTATAATTTACTTGTACTTCAAATATTTATTTAGTCCTATCAAAATACAACTATTTAAGTGTTTCTTAAGAAAATAACACACAATATGATATGATTAATGATACTAAAATATCTAAAAAATAAAATAATATTGAAATCGCGTAAAACAAATATTGCAAATTAATAAGTCATAATGAAAATGATCATAAATTTAAGTACTAAATCATGCTAAAATAAGTTTAATAAGTATAACTTACATGACTAAAATATTAAAGGAAATTAAAATTAGATTATGTATTTTAATTGTCTTAACCTATGTAAAACTAAAGAACAAATATTCAATATTATTGTCATTCTTAGTGTTGAATTGGTTTTCTTTTTGCGTTAGTATTAATTTGATTTTGATTTAAGCTTTATTATAATTACCAATATCTATGGACTATAGTTTTTATTGGGTCATTAAGAATTCTAACTTTCAATCATGAAATAATATATTAAAAGATAAAAACTATGAAAAAATATAAGAAATATTTAAAAATTATATCAAAGTAAATATTTTTACGTATAGAATAAATTTTAAAATTATATATATAATGTCGGATTGGTTTGGTCGCGGATTGTTTTTTTTAGTTGAAACCAAACCAAACCAACCCAAATATAATCGGATTTTTTTTTCCAATACCAAACCAAGTCAAACCAAACCACTAGTCGGGTTTTTTTTCCGGTTTGACTCAATTTGCAGTTTGGTTTGGTTTTTGGTTCGATTTTGTACACCCCTAACCATGAGCTATATGGCAAGTGGATGAGATTCTGAGTTCATGAGATTTGGTATATGGACTGCGAGTTTCCCATGGGTCCTTCTCTGGAAGCTAAAGCTCAACAAGGTGTATATGACATGTTGTGCGACAAACTTGGTTTCATCACATCATTTCATCATTGCATTGCATCTGCCGGCTTTGTTTGTTGTGTAATTTGCTTTATGATATGATGAATTGTTTATAGCCTTACGCGTTTACTTTACTCATGTCGTTCTTATAGAAATTGATGACATCGATGCCAAAATGAGACTTTTCTGTATGCAGGAGAAACATTTTGTAGTTAATATCGTAAGTTTAATTAATTACTTTATACTTAATTGGTCAAGCCTAGTGAGTACATGTGAATTGTACTCACCCCTATTTTTGTAACCTTTATTGCAGCCCTTAGTATGAGTATTTATTGAGATGAGTGAATTGATCATGCAATTATTGACCTTCGAAGTTGTGGTGAGATCTTTGTTCGGGTCATCATTCAAGCTTCAGTCTTTATGCATATTTCAAAGACAAGTGTTGAATTTTAAATCCAGATATTGTATTAGAATGCTCTTTAATGCTTATGATATCAAGTTTGGTGAATTCTATGTTGGATCTCAGTTTTTTTTCTTTCTTTTATGGCATGACTTCACTCTATATGTCTCATATGTG